ATCATCGTCGTCATCGTGACCATCGTCTTCAAGTCCTTCCTTCGCTTCATTGTCCTGCTCCACTCTATGAGTGAATCACGGCAATGCAAGGTGGGCTAGCAACGGCGTCGGTCACATGTGACACCTGTCGGCGTTGCCCGAGTGGCCACCGCAGAGAGCCCTATGCGGGGCCAAGAGAGCTCAAAGTCCAGCGACGTGTCACATGTGACGGCTTTCTGGGCTTGCTCCAACCGTCGCCGTAGCGAGTGCATGTATCGCTGCTCGAGGTGTCACACGTCAAAGCAATCCGTCTCCCTCGCGCAAAGGCCACCGAGAAGGCTGTGCTGGAACGATGGCGGGACTTGACGCAGGCAGCTGGATATGCATCCCACGTGCTCCCCCTCTCCCTCCCTCCCTGAGAAGCAACGATAAGGGTGGACATGCATAGAGGGGATACATCGACCCGGAAACGGCGATACATCGCGGATAGATCGGCGATAGGCCTCCGATAGTGAATCCGCGCCTTCCCGGGCGGGTTGGGGCTATCGGGCCCCTATCGGCGATCCATGGGCGATTGGGGGGTGATGAATCCCCCCCTATGCCTATCCCCCTCTATCGTTGCCTTGCGGTTTTCGCGCCAAAATTCGGCTCCCTGGCGGCCGTTCGGGACGATTCTGGCACCCCCGGAACGCCCTCGACGAGGCGCAGCCGCTGGAACGCACCACGAGGCTGGGAATCGGCCGAGAACAAGAGCTCCGAAAACTGCAGCAGATCCCTCCCCACCACCTGTGCCTGTTCCCCCCCTGTCGTTACCCCATCCCTCCCTCCCTCCCCCCCAGACATGCGACGTCCTGATTTTTTCAGGACGGCGTCCTTGGACGTCCCCTCCCCTTCCCGGGACCTGTTTTTCCTCCTGAATCGTTTGTTGACGGTCCCGAGGCCCGGCGAGGGCCCCCCGGGGCTGAAAATAGTCAACAGCTCCCGCTCGGATTCTATCACGACCCGATCATGTCTGGGCCTCCCCCCCTCCCCCCCCCTCTCGGCGGGGTGCCGCCGCCGTCCTCTCCCGATTCTTCTTCGGGTTGAAGGGCGCCTGCGGGCACCCGTGCCAGCTGGCCCCGGGCCCCTTCTTCGCTCGATCGCTCCGAGGGGGGGAGGGCTGCCGCGCGCGCTGGGGGCTCGAAGGGCGCCCGAGCCCGAACAGCGTGTTTGGTTCTCTTTGTGTTTTCGTTTAAAGCAAAGTCCGAGCGAGAACGCCGGCGGGCGTCGCGCGGGCCGCTCTGGAACAGCACGGCGGGTGAACCAAAGCAGCGGCCCCCGAGCAGCCGAACACAAAACGCAGAACAGAACGCAAAAACAACAACAACAACAGTGTTTAGGTTCCGCCCTGAAGAAAGAGAAAGGGCTATTAGGCTCGATTTAGCCACTCAACCATCTTCATCCCCACATTGCGCCCGACATTAAGCTAGGCGGGGAATAAACGGACTTAAGCGAGATTCTTCCTGTTAAGGCCGGTTTTCGGTCACGGATATGCCAGTACAGATTCTGAAACAAATCTTCCAGGAATTGCATCCGAATGAAGGGTACCCAAACCCATCCTCAAGGATGAAGCGACTCTGATATAAGCACGGGAGGCCGTGGCAACTCGAGCAAGGGGGGCCATGTAACAGAAACATATTCCAGCATTTTCCCAGGAAGGAGGAGGGGGAGGACAAGGGGAGAGGGACTGGGGGGAAGGGTGGAGAGGGTGTGGCGGAGAATGGGGGAAGAGGAGGGGAAGGGAGATGAACTCCAGCCGCAACTACAATACCTCCCTTCGGGTAATAATGAGGGTTTTTTGGGGGGAATGGGTGCAGCGTTCGGTTTGCGAATGGCGTGGGATCGGATTCGCAACCTCAACACGCCTGTCGACCGATCAATCTTACTATCTCTCTACCTATCGGTCTCAACATGTTTCTCCTGATGGGACATGCGCGGGAAGGCCGCAGCCCCGGGGACAACCCTGGGACGACAGTGGAGCAACCGCGGCACGACCGCGAGACACCCACGACAAACCCACGGGGCAGTGTATGTCAGTCCACAAGGAACCTTCCACAAGAAGCCAAACCCTGAGATCCCAGGGCGTTCACTGATCTTGGGGCAGAGAGGACGCCACGCCCTCCGCAGCAGAGCCATCGAGACCCAGGAAACCCAGGGCACCCTGGAGGCAAGCAGGGTGTTTCTTGGCATGGGCCCCCACCCAAACCATGCGACGTCCTGATTTTCAGGACGGCGTCCCTGGAAGTCCCGACCCTTTCCCTGGGACGGGCTTTTCGTCCTGAGTCGTTCTCTGACGGTCCCGAGGCCCAGCGAGGGCCCCCCGAGCCCGAAAATAGCCAAAAACCTCCCCCCTCCTCCCCCCTCCTCCCCCCTCCTCCTCCCCCCTCCTCCGACACCGGCGGGACAACCATCGGACAACCATCCACACAACCCCACGACAGAATCACAGGGCAACCACAACGGACAACCACCAGGACAGCCGTCGGGACGACCCTCGGGACCGCAGGCGCGGGACAACGGAGGGGGGCGGGCCGCGGGACGGCCCCAGCCTGGAGTCTGGAGAGCCTCTTGCGTCCTCGCCCTGCACTGCTGGCGCAGGAGCTCGCGCAGCGTCTCTCCTCGCCTCGCCATTCCCGCACGCCGCGGACGACAAGAGGCGGCACCTAGAACGCTTTCACGGGTGGTGTCGGCCCGTCCCGTCGTCGGAATAAGAGATCCGGGGGCCCGCGCTGCCACGCTGGCGAATGGCCGGGCTTGTTCAGCACTGTTTGCTTGTCATCTTGTGGGCTGGCCTCCGCTGTATCCTCACCCGAGGTGATCTATGTTGTGTGCTGGTCTGCTTATTGGTCATCTGAGCTGACGAGCTTGAAGTTGCCTTGCGTTTCACTTACACGCCGTCGGAAGAAATGGGTGGAAGCATGAAGCAGGAAGGCGTTGGAAGCAAATTGGCCTGCCGCCCGCCCCTTGAGGAGGAGGGGCGAAGGAAACCGGTCGATCCTTAAAGGAGGAAGGCGCCCAAAGTAGGTTAGGATCTGGGAGTCCAAAAATACCGACTTCAACGACCGGCCTGTAGGCCTCAGCTCCAACCTCCAATTTTTTGCGACGGCGGATGGGGACTCTCCACGAGGAGGAGGAGGAGGAGGAGGACGGATCTCGGGGGAGGGGAGGGGGAGGGCCGTGCGCGGCGACATGCAGAGCCAGTCCACTACACCACAGGTTGCCATCGCTCGGACGTCCATTCCTCTTGTATTGTTAGGTCGGGCATGTCCTCCTACAGGCAGATTTTGAAGGACAAATGGAGAAATGCACCAACATGTTCAACAGTAGTCAAAACATCGTCCCCAGACTTTTCTTTACTATTCTTGAATATTCCTCCAGTAGAGGGACAGGCCCGACTTACTTGTATTGTTTGATCTCGTGCGTGCTCTTTTTTTCTCAGGGTGATCCAACATGCTCCGAATTGGTCCAGATTGTCTGATGCTGGCCTTGCCGGAACAAGCATGCACACGCCTCGCCCGAGCGATGCCAAGATAAGTAGGGACGTAAGAACCCCTAAATGCAAACATAGGTGGGGAGGCCAATACCTCTACTCCCTGGACTTCTCCTGGGGTGTGTTCTGACCAGAATTTCGAGGCGAATCCAGCGGTAGCGACGAGGGCCTCCCAGGAGGCCCAAAACGGCAAAAGCGAGGGAGGGGTAGCGGTATGGGTACCTTTTCCTCCTCGGAGTAGGACACCAACCGCAGAACATCGAGCGCAAGCTGGCACACAAAACCCGACCTCAAGCAGGAGGAGGAGGCGGAGGAGGCGGAGGAGGAGGAGGAGGAGGAGGAGGAAGTGGAGGAGGAGGAGGCAGCAACCACAGAGCGCCGGCGCCGAGCGCTGTCGGCCACAGAGCACCCCGGCCCGCCACGGCCAGCTGCGACACACAGGGCAACACACCTGGCACCCGCCGCGGAGTGCCGAGCGCGCACGGCCACAGCGCACCCCGTCCTTGGAGCGGCCAGCTGCCCCAGGCAGGGCCAGCTCCCGTCGGCCCGAGCAAGATCCTCTGCGTGGAGCACTGCTCCTCCTCCTCCTCCTCCTCCTCCTCGTTCTTCCCCTCCTCCTCCTCCTCCTCCTCCTCCTGCCCTCCTCCCCCTCCTCCTCCTCCTCCTCCTCCTCCTCCTCCTCCTCTTCTGCCCTCCTCCTCCTCCTCCTCCTCCTCCTGCTCCTGCTCCTCCTCCTCCTTCTCCTCCTCCTCCTCCTCCGAAGGGGGCAGCGCCACACCCAGGCGGGAGCAACAACGCCGCGCCAAGATGAGTGGCACTGGCCGCTCCGTGGCGCAACAGGTTCGGCCACGGCGGCCACGACGACGGCGACGGCGACGACGGCGATCACGACGGCGACGAGGACGGCGACGACGGCGATCACGACCACGACGACGACACGAGGCCCCAGCAGAAGCCAGCCTCCGCCCACGATGCAGGCAAGCAAGGCCGTCAGCCCGCCCCGCGCCCACCGGCTCGGCCATGAACGGATGGCCACGTGCACGTGTGCTTGGCTCGCGGCGCACAGAGATCTGAGCTCTGGTGGCCTCCCAAGTGGGCGACGACACGCACCGGGCGACCTCACGCGGTGGCTTGCGCGGGCCGCCAGCGTGGCCTTACGCTGGCAACTTACGCGCCAACGTCGGTGAAGACGACCCCATTTCTCTGTCCCTTCGGGAGGCCTGGCTCTGGCGATGCCTCAGCGAGAAGAACGGTAACACGAAACGTCTCACCACACGAAAGCAGAAAGGCTAGTCAATGTCGATGGTGGGCACGATGGCGATACCGATTAGAACATTTTTCAACGCTCGTGCAGAATTCAGAAGGCCTAAATCTGGAAAGATCTCCCGACGCTCAACATCTTTGCTCACCTATCCTTGTCAAGCAGACTGCACGTCGAACAGCATGCGTTACGAGGAACTCCTGATGCGGGCTAGTTGTCGTCCATCTGCGACTACAGCGCCATCAGCGCCAAACCCTCACCCGGCTCCGTCGCCTCGCCCTCAACAATCGCATCCTTGGCCTTCGCATCCTTCCCGCCTCGCCTATTGCCCTGCCTCGGATGCGTCATCTCCCACCGATCAGCCGACTCCCTCGCAATGCGCTTGGCCTCCTCCAACCTCGCCTGACCGGCCTGCCTGGCCAGCGCCACAATCTCCTCAATCGAATCCGCCTCTGGTGCCCCCTCCGCCTTCGCCTCGCGCTCCGCCTCCCTTGCGGCGATCGTCGCGATCTTGTCCTCGAGGATCTTCTTCATCTCTGCCAATGAGAACGAAGGGCTGGTAGTGCCTTCGGCGGCGATGCCCGGGAGAGTCCGCGCAGGGGACGCCTCGGGCGTCCGACTCCTCGCGCTCGTGGCCACCTGGGGGGCGAAGGAGGGCGGAGAGGAAGGCGGGAGGAGGCGAAGGAGGGAGGGGGAGGAGGGAGGGAGGGGGAGGAGGGGAGGAGGGAGGGGGAGAAGGGGAGGAGGGAGGGGGAGCAGGAAGCGGGAGGGGGGAGGAGGGAGGGAGGAAGCACGCAACAAGAGGAGCAAGAGGAGGCGCCGTGTTCTGCTCCGAGCGAGGACGCGGGCCCCTGGGCTGTCGACTTGACGCACCCGAGATGGGGCCGGCGCTGTGGTAGGTTCGCGCAGCGTCGGCGCGCGCAAAAGTTTCTGACAAGGTGTTCATCAATCAACCTTGAGCCGATCGCGGCCCCGATCGTTCAAGGTTGAAATCCGTTGGGCCCTGTGGCGTTACCGTGTCCCTCGGTGCTCCCGCGTCGTTCCATCATGCGGAATTCAGCCTTGAACGCCTTCGTCGGCGTCGCCGGCGCGCCGTCGCCGCACAAAACCCACCGCGCAAGTGGGGGCGGTGCCGCACAACGGATGTGGCCAGAAGCCCACAGGGACTGCTCCGGAGCAGACGGCGACCGCCGTGGAACGGACCACGACCTCCCCGAGGCCGACAGCGAGTCCTGTCCGGAGTGCGCAGGGCGCGAGGCCTCCACGAAGCTTTCAGATGCCCCTCAGAGACCCCCAAGAAACCCTAAAGGCGCCAAGAACCCCCCAAGGTTTCTTGGTGCCCTCCTGGGCCCCACGAGGGGCCCAGGAGGGCACCAAGACACCCTCAAAAGGCGCCCAAGAGGCCCTCGGGAGCAGCACGCCGCAAATGCCAGCCCCGCAAGGGGGTCGGCGGTGTGGCGTGCAAGCGAAAAGCCACGTCCGGAAGTGACGCGTTGCCGGGGGCAGGTCGCGGAGAGGAGCGGAAGCCCTAATCTAACTAACGTATCCATAGTGCCCCATGGTCGCGCAATGCTGCGCCACGTCTCTGTTTTGCATTATTCAGTCGCCCCTCCCTCTGGAAGACCTCGTCGGGCCAGATCTGGCGACCCCCATTCTGGGGATAGAAGACGTACCAGAATTTGCAGATATCGAAAATACCGGCGTCTTTGGCCTCCTGGAGGCCCAAAAAAGCTTAAGACGGCCTCGCGACTGCCCAAGACGGCCCCGAGACGGCCCAAACAGGGCCCAAGAGGCGTCCAAAACGCCCCCAGAGGACCTCAAAGGGGCACCCGAGAACATCCCCAGACGCCCAAAACATTGATGTCCCGTGGGTGTTGGACATTTTCAAGGTTCTCGTCTTTTGAGAGAGCGTGACCCACCGCCGCTTTACTTTGGAAAATTGCCACCCTTTTCCTCAGGAGCCCGGGGTCCCCCCCCCCCTCCGAAAATTCCCCTCCCCCTGCTGGACCCCCCCCTACCTCCCCCGGCCCCCCCCCCCTCCCCTAACCCCCCCCCCCCCCCTCGAAAACCGGGGGGGCTACCAGTTCGAAAACCCCCCCCCTCGAAAACTGGAGGGGGGGTCACTACGGGTTCGAACCCCTCCCCACCCCCCCCACTCACCGCCAGCAACGAACACTCCCGGTCCCTACCACCGTCCGTGCCACATCCCCCACTGTTGTCCCAGCGCCACTGTCCTCACCACCGCTGTCCCCGCTGGTTCCACCTCCGTCCCTACTGTCCCCAGCAGTGCTCCCACCACTGTCGCACTGTCCCCACTGTCCCCACCACTGTTCCCACCACGGTTCCACTCTCCCCACTTTCTCCACGGCCCCAACCACTGCCCGACTATCCCCACTGTCCCCACTGTCCCACTGACTCCTCCGCTGTCCCACTGAACTGTCCCACTGTTCCCACCACTGTTCCCACTGTCCCCACCACTGTCCCCACTGTGCCTCTGTCCCATTGTCCCACCGCCGTCCTCGCCACCGCCTTCACCACTGTCCCCACCACCACTGTACCCTCCAGTGTCCCACTGTTTCCACCTCCCCGTCCCCACGCCACTGTCCCCACCACCACCGTCCCCACCACTGTCCGCGCCCCTCCTTGGTTCTCGAGGAGGGGGGGGGGTTTCGAACCGGTAGTGACCCCCCCGGTTTTCGAGGAGGCGGGGGGGTTCGAACCAGTAGTGACCCCCCCCTCCTTTTCATGATGAGCTGGGCGTGGGGGGGGGGGGGGGGTTCGAACCCGTAGTGGCCCCCCCCGGTTTTCCGGAGGGGGGGGGGGAGGGGTTCGAACCGGTAGTGACCCCCCCGGTTTTCCGCCAGCAGCGGTAGAACACGCTCTTTCCGTCTTTTCGACTCTCGGGGGCCCTGGCGGCCGAAACAGCTTCCGAGCTGGCGCCTCAAGATTGCGCCAGCGGCCCGCAGGAGGGGCCCCAAGCGGCCCCGCGATGACCCCCCAAAAGCCCCCCAAAGACCCCAAAGGCGGCTCCGAGTCCCCCCAGACGGCCTCCGAAGGCCGAAGGGGCTCGACGGCGCAAGAGCGCCGCGCGGCTGCTCGAGACGCCCCCGAGAAGCCCTCAAAGGCCCCGCAGAGGCCACCCGGAGGCTCCCAATGAGCACCGGACGTGAAAGAAGGGAGCGGCGCGCGCGCGCGCGGGGGCCGACCAGGGCGCGCCAACCAACGCCCATGCCTTCCATGTCCCAGGACTTTTCTGGAGCAGCGGTTGCCAATCTGGATCAGCTGCGCGGCGCCTGCCATGGTCGCTGGCACGCGGGGCCGAGCAAGTCTGCTTCGTTATGGTGTCTCGCGAGAACACGACGAGCGCCGCGCGCGCATTAGCCGTCGGCACGGAGCGCGGGTCCACTCTGGCCAGTTCTAGACTTGTAATTCGATATCTTTGGCCGAGGAGCCGCGCCGCATTTCGAGCGGGGCGGATATTCGCGCGAATCGCACCAGAAACCCCAAACGTGCGTTCGGCGTTCTGGAAGCTTTGCTCCGCGTCTTCCCTTGCGTGGGGGCTTCATTTCTTGTCCAGACACTCTGTGCGCGCGGCGTCTTGGACGCCCCTGTGCATGGAGGCGTCGTCGAACTGCTCCGCAGGCTTGCCCTGCGCGCGCGTGCGGCGCTTGAAGAGGCGGGCCTCCGACTGAACGTTGAAATGCCGCCTCTCGGGGGCGCGCGCGACGCAAACAACGAGGTCCAGCATCTCTCTTTCTTTGAAGTCGTTCATCTCGCCGAGTGTGGAATTTTGTAAACTGGTTTGGGCTCCTCGAAGCGACGGCGGAATAATGCGTCTTTTCCCTTCGGCCTGCGTGGCGCTGCAGCCGCGGCAGCCGCGCCCGAAGCAGAGGCCCGCTTCTGCGCGCGGAGGGCGCGCCTCCTCCAGGCGCCCTGGCTCAGCGCCGCCATGGCGTGCTCCGCAGGGTCGCTCGTCCGCGCCGCGTCCCGGGGAGTTCCCTGTTCTCGACCGCTCGTTGCAGTCGCCGCGCTCGAATGTGGCGCCCGCCAACTTCTTCGACGATTTTTAAAGCTGTCTCGTTCTCTGGCCTGTCCCACTCGGCATCTACCTGTTCCGCGCCCCCCCCCCAGCTGTCGGGGGGGGCGCGGGGGCCGCGGGCCCGTCAGACGCCTTGGGCGGCGCAACGTTGGGTGAAAGGCTGCGCGATGATTGGGTCGCCCGTCCTCCTGGTTCCGCGGATGGCTGCGGGGCCCGTCGGGGCCGTGGATGCGCGGAGCGTCGCGCGCGCGCCCGGGTGGTCGACGATGGCCCGCGGCAGCGCGGCGCTGGTGACGCGCTGGGCCGCGGCGGCGAAGCGCGGGGCAGGCGGGGGCCCCGCGCGCTTCGCCGCCGCCGTGAAGCCGGGGCTGCGATCCCAAGATGCCCCCATCATTGATGCGGGGAAGACACCCGCCGGCTGATTGCCGCAGCGGGGCGCCGTGACCCCGGGGGTTTTGATCGTCATCGCTAGTTCTGGCTCGGACCTGTGCCCGTTCGCCAGCTTCGAACCGTCGGGCTGGAGAGCCCAGCTCATCGCGGTCCACGGCTTGCAAGCTCCCGCCTTAGCATTCTCCGCGGCGGTGAACGCGCTCGCATCACCTCGAAGGTCGGGGGCGCGCGCAGAACGCCGCCTGTCTTGTTCTCTGGGTGCGCGAGCCAGTCTTGCTTGACGTTGACGAGCGATTCCTTCGACCTGCGCACGTCGCCGCGAGTGAAGGGGGCGTCGCGCGCC